ATTTCGATCAATTGTTTGTCTTTGTCTGTCTAATGGACCGATAACAAAGAGGTTATATAATTTTTTTGACCGATAATCATGGACATAGGGAAGATTCGAACCAAAAATCGTTGACATTACCAACACGATCGTGGACATTGGCTACATAGTTCAATGTCCACGTTTTGTGGACATAGAGGCGCTTCAAAATAAAGTTGCATCTAAATCGCGGGCATGGCCGCTCTCATGCTTCTCTCTGCCTATAGTCACACTGGGTCACAGAGGGAGCTTTCCAACTAGCGACACCTTTGTCACTTTCTGAATGTCAAGTGTACATATTTTATCATTCTTTTTTTCGAAGATTGGAGCAGATTGGAGTACGTGTTCTTAAGGAAGAATGGTAATCGAGGAAAAGGTGGATCTTTCGAAGGAAAACCAAACGCAAAATGGAGTTACGACGAAAGAGCTGAGAACGTATTCCCTGGAGAGTATCCTTTCGTGAAAATTATCCTGGGTTCTCTTGACAGAACTGTCAGTGCCATATGCTTCGTATAACCTCTCGCTGTCATGAGTTGTTGAGACTCTAGTAATATTAAAATCGCTGAGAATCCTGCTGAACTGTCGAAAATGCCAATTTGATAATTTCTTATCTCTGTTTTTGATTATTGTAGAATTATTTTGGTATTATTCATGAATGTTTTCCAGCAAGAAAAACAGTCAATATAGAGCCTTTTCCAGCAAGAGACCCAGATGACACAGTGTATTATTACATCCTTATTATTTGCAAATATTAAATAAAGATGAAACGATTAAACTGCGAATGTATTATTTCTGTTAGAAAATGCATACAGTATAATACAAGATATTTTCCAGCAAGAGTATCTAATACGAAAGAGAAAAAATTGCAATAATTAGTTGTAACGTTAGAATTATTTATATTTTCAGCATCTGGTACTATATGTATATCTAATATAAAGAAGAAAAATAAATATGATTAGCAAAGCCAAAATGTATTATTGACAGTTTGAATGTTAAATGTTTGCTAAATTAATGCAGCTAACACAGCGAAAAATTTCTTAATTTGGCTTAAAAATTGCTTTTGATTTACTGTTTAATTTATTTCAAATTCTGTTATCCTTATTAATTCCTGACAAACATGTAGTTCTAAAGATAATCAAGGAAGCGCAGCAACAACATGGGTTGAGACATGGCGATTATCAACGGTACCGCGGTTATTGCTCCAGAAGGCTGAGAAGATTGCGGAAAGTGTTGAAAGTACCGCAGGGTGACAGACGTCATTTCAAGAGGAGAGATGTTACTGCGGCTATGATCAGCGAGGATAAATTTTTACAAGTGCCCTTGATGATGGCCGAACGCGCGTGGAGCTACGCGATGCAGCTTCGTCAGGAATCTAATACAGAGCCAAGGAAAAAGTTTCATCTAATTTCGAGACTCAAGAAAGCAGCTGCGTACTCTTTACAATTACAAGATTTAATAGAGGTACATTCTTTTTTTAATAAAAGAACATCTTTCTTTCTGAAATGATATTGTTTCTAATTTGTCTATAAATTTCTTTATACAGAAGCTGCTAACTTTTTGGTCAATGATCGGTATTCATAGTCCATTCTTATTTCAAGACTATTTTAATTATATCTTAAGATGCTAATATGGCTCTCTGAATGGTTTCTGACATCTTAAGACTGTACTTAACATAGTCTTGAATACAGAATTTCACTATGAATATCGACCAATAATTTTATTGTATTGCTCAGATAAAAAATCTTTATATTATAGATAAAGATCTAACACATATAAATATTTTAATAAATTCTAAAATATTAAAAACATTGTATCTTTAAGTTAATTATGACAAGAATTTTATCAATTTATAATATAAACTAAAAGATAGATCAATAAAAAATTGTAAAATTATGTTGACCGAAAACTTTTGGCAGTCACTGTGTATGACTGTACATGTACATCTTACTTTTTTCATTTTTGTTTCATTAATTACGTCTATGAAATTACCAAGACTATATTTTATTGTTTTATTGTGTTTTCTCTGTTTAGAATATTAATTGTGACGCGCGTACGAAACTGGAGGCTCAGGCGTACGTAGCCTGGATGAATGGTTCCCTGCAATTTGAATTGCAACTATGGAAACAAGCTATGGAAAACTTGAAAAAGGCGCAAGTGGTATATGGTAATCTGGCATCTGCATTGCCAGAATTGGAACAGGTCATATATAAGGCGCGCGTCGAGGAATTAGCACCTAGTCTTAGATACTGCGCTTATAACATTGGAGATACTAGTGCTATGGATGATCTCATGCAGATGCGTGGGCAATTGAGTGGCGAACTGATGGCCAGCCTAGACTCTCTGATAGCTCATACGCGGGAAAAGCAAGCCAATATTGAGGAAGTGACATGGCGTGGAAAATCCTGCGGTACGGTGCCGCCACGAGCAGCTGGTCTGATCATTGCAGACTCTAGATTAAACCAAGCTCTGGAAAGAGCTGTCACTAATCAGGCGAAGATCGATCTGCTGGAGGCACATTTGATAGATTGCAAAGATGCTCTATTGGCAGTGCGTGATCATTTTAAGAACGAGTTGAAGAACAAAGAGAACGACAAATGGTCACCGCAACAGCAACATTTGATCAATTATCTGCAATATATTCGACTGTCTTGCACGTTGGAACGTAATCTGACGTTGGTGAAGGCGGCAGAGGAATCGGAGAAAGCCAAGCCGCAGGACATAGTACGTCTATATGAGGCAGGGTTACACAATCTTGTAGAGATATCTCAGTTGCAAGATGATGCAGAATTCTTGGAAGAACAGGAAGCAAAGACAAAAAGTTACAGAGCCTTTAGATGTTTCTACTTGGCTCAGAGCCTCGCCAATATGCATCGTTGGCGTGAGGCTATGGCCTTGTATCAAAGATCACTGCAGCATATTAAAGATGCACTTAAATATGATAAGATTCTTCCAGTCGAGCTCAAGGAAGCTGTGCACAAATTGGAAACCTCTGTGGAGGCTGCGCAGTATGCTGCTCACGCCCATAGCGTTTTGGAAGATGGTCAGGAAGAAGAAAGTGGAACTAGTAAGCTTGCTAAAAGTAAAAAACCGTTGTATGAACGTCTGCACGAATACAGTGAAGATCCGGCGCTTCTCACGAAGCAACCGAACGTTTATAAACTGCCACCACCAATGCGCAGCATTCCCTGCAAACCTTTGTTTTTCGATCTGGCCTTCAACATGGTTGAATTCCCTGATTTGTCGCAAAAAATGGGTGATCAGGCTAAGAGAGGGCAAGCTGGTCTCACCGGTTTTGTTAAGGGTCTTTGGGGTTGGGGAAACAAATGAATATTATATAATATACAGTATCTGTGAAATTTGATATGCAAAAGAATTTTTGTAGTACAAGATACATTGTACAGACAGTATTGGTTACATATATATTGTTTCTGCTGTGTCTTTACAGTACCACAATAGTTTATAAAGTATTTTTAAAGCTCGTAGATTATGCATTGGAGATTGAGAATTGCGAATTGTAAATTAGAACTTAAACAATAGGATAATTTTAATCCATTCCGTTTGGTTAAATTCTAATCTCTAATTCACAATCCTCAATTTTCAATGCATAATCTACGAGCTATAAACTATAATCATACAGGTTTAAAACAAGTGGAACTTGCATTGAATCAATACTGAGGGAAGAAATAAAATGGAAGTATATGTCTATTATAAATCAAGATCCATCTCTTGCTTTATGATAATTCTCCTTTCCTTTCTTACAATATATGCAAGTATATATATATATATATATGATAAAATAACATTCTTTATTTCTTTTACAACTTCATACACTAGTATAAAAACAATGATCTCACACAGAGGCGTTTTTTCGTTATGCAACCAGAAGCAACCGCGACTAAGGCTATCTTTATCTTCTGATCCCTGAAAACAAAGATAGCCTTAATCGCGGTAGCTTTTGGTTGGATAACGAAAAAACGCCTCAGATTGTATGTACAATTTTCTGTAAACAAGGATAGAGATAATGGTAAAGCATCACGAGCAAGTACCATATGTTATGCTGAAAATCATGCACAGTACAAATACTGTTTTCAAGCTTCCTTACTCTTGGTTAGTTCTTCGACTAATTTTCTAAACACCTGTGCAACTTGACTGTCGGGTAATGTCACCAGAACACTTTGTCCCTTATCCGCTAACTTGCCAACTTGTGGATCTATTGGTACTTTAGCTAGAAATGGAACCTTTACCATCTCGGAAAGGGCTATTCCACCCCCTGAGGAAAATATATTGGTACATTCCTGTAAAAAAAAGTAAGATTTATTAAAATTATATTGAACAATTACGTTAATTATACAAAAGGCTACGGGCCAAGCAGGCTGTTTATTGTTAAAAAATTATTAAATTTTGTAAACAAAAAATACATGTTTTGATCCGATATATTGTGTCCAGCAATTCTTGAATATCCTTAGATCCTAGAATTATACTGGAATTTTATGTATTCTGAAAAACTCTTAACATTTTAAAGTCAAATTTAGTTTGGAATTTATCATTTTTTCATTCTAAAAAAACAAAAAAAGAAATTAAAAAAATTATGTTTGGACTCTCCTTAAAGATGCAATGAGCTACCAATAAAAAACTTAGATTTAATGTCTAAAATAGAACATATTTATTGATATTATTTATAAAAATAATATTGTTTTAAATTTGTCAATGTTTTAATTCAATCGTACAGAAATTTGACTTGAAAAAAAAGCATATAATATTGCGCGAATCAATGAAAATTAATTGAAATTGAAATTAATATTGTGTAATTGGTTAACAATTTAAAATAATCGAGGTGTTAGTTAAAGAATTAAAAAAAAAATGGTTTTACAAAATTCATTTGTATTATTATGATACGGTATCTTATTTTCTATATTCCAACATATTATTAAGATCTAATAAGATGCTATAGGCATCAAACATTGGTTAGATTGATTGTCAATTTAACTAAGTGATATTACTGCGGTAGTGAATATGTATGCGTCAATGCTGAAAATCTATCAGCGTCGCGGGGGGGACTACATACGCAGTATATAAATCACAATATAATAAACATTAACATCCTGTTTACAAGACTCGATTAGGCATTACACTTTCTGAGATTTTTAAATCATACGAGTCAATTAGTATTATCTTTCATTATACTTCTATATTTCATTGTAGTTAATGAGTGTCAATAGCATCTTCGCTTGTTGTAAAAATTGTTTAAATTCCAAAAAGAATCGCCTTCAGAAATAAAACTTATAGTTCTCAATAACATAATTGATATAAGTGTCAATAATAATTTTGTTAAAAAGTCAATAAGCGAGACTTCTACATAAATTAAATTTAACGAACTTAGAGAGGTGATGGTGTTCTTAATGTACAGTTTAACGAATTTTTGAAATATGTAATTTTTTTATCACAAGCGAAGATGTCTCGATGTTTATTTATTGTTCCTGCGATCTCATTAGCTACAGAATTATTCGAGAGACATTAATAAATGGTTACATTGATAATGATCCAGTTAGGGATAAAAATGTTTGTGTATTCTTCGTTTATAAAATTTAATAATTATTAAACAATAAATCTTGCTTAGCTCGTAGCCTTTCGTATTATTTATTTTTTAAAATATTTGAGCTCATTATATTGTTATTAAATTGTTTTAATAACAATTGCAAATAGTAAAGAGTACTTACTGTACATGAAGGACAGACAAAGCCACTCATATTTTCAATGATACCGATTATGTGAATACCAGTTTTTCTGCAAAATGTCACCTCTCGCAGAACATCATCTACTGCAACTGCTTGCGGAGTGGTCACTATAATCGCACCATCGCATTTTACATTTCTGTAATAATTTTAGTTGACGAATGTTTTATTATAACATAGTGAAATAAAGAAACTATTGTTTACTTCCCCCTACACTTTTTGAATTAATATTAGTGCAAACGGAGCAATAAGTTGAAGTGAACATATATTTGTTTTACTAGGTGAAAAAATTTAACTAAAATTATTCCACGTTTTGGGACATTTTTTTAGCGAAATAGTTGACAATTTGTTGAAAAAATTTCAGTGAAAGTGAATATCTTTGGCGAACTGAAAAATCGCTAAAATTGAACTGAAATTTTTGCTCAAATTTCTGTAAAAGTTCACTAAAATTTTGTTGAAAATAAATTTTTCGGCTAGAAATTGCTGAAATTGAACCGAAATTTTACTGAAATGCTGAAATTTCGCTGGAAAGTGTTCCAAAACGTCGAATAATTTCAACGAAATTTTTCCACTCAATTTATACTGAATATTTAATACTGAACCGTGTGCACCAGTTCACAGAGTGTAGGTATAAAAAAGATATAAATTTAATAATAAATAGATCTAAATATTCTAATTTATCTTATCTAAAATGAAATAAAAAATACAAATGAGCAAAGAAGTCCATATTCGATCAAAGCAATAGTTGATTTCCGAATATTTTTGCATGATTTTTTCGATTTTTTTTATTTCTGCAATAAATTCTTTTTATTTTAATGTGTTTTAAACATGTTTATTAGCATCAGTATTATTGAATTACTTATCAATTTAATTTATGCAGAGATGGGCATTATTTGAAATAAATATATTTAAAATGGAAATACAAAATGCAAAATGTCCATTTTGTATTTTGTCATTTTTCGACAATTATTTTACATTTTCATTTGAATAGTTTTTACTACCAATTTTCAATTTGAAATACATTTATAAATTGACATTAATAGTTCTAGCAGAGTGTTAAAATCTTATCAATCAATAAATTTTTTCTCAAATTATAATACGTGCTTCCAATGCTCAACTCCAGTAGAATGCTTTTTCTTGTGCTATTTCAAATAAATTTGAGCAATTATTTTGCTTATCTGAATTTTTCATATTATATACTTTAGCTTTAGTGATAATTTACTGATATATAATTTCTAGTTCAAGCAAAAATATTATTAATCACTAAGACTGAACATGATCTTTTCCACTTATTTATATCAAATAATGTTTTTTTTATTGATCTTTACTTACTATTAAGTATATAACTTTATATATAAATAATATTATTTATAGATTATTAACCTTAAATTCTCCAAGACTGTAATATGTTCGTCAGAGGTGCCAGGTGGTGTATCAATGATCAAATAATCAATATCCCGCCAAACCACATCTGATAGAAACTGTTTGATCATACCATTCTTTTTAGGCCCGCGCCAGATCACACTATCATTCTGACTTTTCAGGAGGAAACCAATCGACATGACAGATAGTTTCTGCTCTGAATCAGCAAATACTGGTATCCATCTGTCGATTCACATAACTCATTGGAAGCATATGTATAATTATTATTAAGGAATTGATGCTCAAATAATAAACGACATACCCTTCAGAAGATTGATGAACATCTTCTCCTTCTAAGTTCAGTAAGTAAGGCACACTAGGACCACAGAGATCAACATCCAAAATCCCAACCTGTCATAATTTATAATTTATTGTAATTATTTCATGGTGTTATAAGTATTCGATTTTTTTTATTGCATTTTTGAATTTATATCATATTTACAAAATTTTGCTTAAAAACTGTAAAATATACTTAGTACTTTTCTTTATATTGTTAATATAATTATTTAGTGGATTTACAGATTATTGTATTTATTATTTTGAAGATATTACTTAAGAATATATAATTAATAAACAAACCATGTGATGAAAATTTTAACTAGAAATTTTATATGAATTGAAACATTTCAGAAATATTGAGGAAGTCTGCCCTGATAGCAAAACAGACTACAAAACCGTAGCCATCTGCGTCCGCATTTGGCTATGGATTTGGCGACAACATTTGCTGACAGTGACAGAGTCTGCCGACATGATCTGACAGCAGATTGGTAGCAAAAACCGAACAAATTGCGCGCAAATAGGCATCATTTTGCTATCAGAGTAATAAACTGCTGCCAAACTGCTGTCAACGTCTGCTGACATGTTTTTGTCAGCAGACGTTGACAGCATGTCAGCAGATTGGTAGCAAAAACCGAACAGAGTCTGTTGACAATACAGACTCTGTCTACAATTTGTTGCCAATTTGCAATCGAACATTGTCAGCAGATTCTGCTCCAAATCTGTTTCCGCAGGCTTTGCTATCAGGGTGTATATGTATCTTTTTTTTTAAATTTCTTATTTATATGAATTCTGAAATATCGTAAAAATTCTAAGATTTTTAATTACATAATTTCTAGAAAAGTATATTAAACTTTTTTTTTTAATTTTATATTTTATTAGAAATTATGGAAGCTTAGAATATTTCAAAATTCACATATATGAAGAATTCTAGAAAACATGTATAAACTTGCTCGGTATTTATGAAAATAAATGTTCTAATTTGTACAAAAGATATGAAAAATTTTCTAAAAAGTTATAAAAATATTCAGAAATATTGAAAAAAATCTGAAGTTACAAAAAATTCTGAAGAATTATATAAAACGCACACACACACCCACTACACACACACATTTTAAGAAAAATTTTTATCAGTTATGCTCCAATTTTATAACTCACAGTTAATTTTTAACCGAGGTTTAACTTATTCCTTATCTCTATCTGATTCTAAAATTGGAAAGTTAACCGTAAATTGTGTTAAATTTTTCATAACTTTTGGAACGTGTGGAGATTCGGAGATTCCGATACTCACTCGAAAGCCTGATTCTTTCAATGCAAGAGCCAGCTGAGTGCTGATCGTCGATTTGCCAACGCCGCCTTTTCCTGAAAGTACTAACAGCACGTGTTTCACTCCCTCCAGCATTATGGATAAATTATTGTTAATTGATTGACGACGGGAAATTAAATTGGAAACGGTCGGCACGTACGCGATCGCGGAATGATATTACGACGGTTGTTCAGCAACACAAAAGTATAAACGAGGTCACGTCTAGTTTTCACATGACCGACGATAATCAATCACGTTTGACCATGCGTAGAGTGTAAAAGACGAACAATTCCGGTGTTATTGTATTATATTTCGCATATCGGATTATAAACATAACCTAAACGTGACATTTCAAGCAACGGCACGTAGTTGACGTGATATAGAGATCCTCAAGTCTTCAATTCATTCAAGGATGTTTACGACAAACCGTCAAATTTCTAATCCGACCGAACAGTGGTACTCAATTGAGGCATTTCAAAAAACTCCCCAGCCTTATCGGATTCTGGTGACACAAAAAGTCACTGTTTTAAAAACACAAAGCGTTCGGCATTGCAAAGCGGAGGCATCCATTTGCTCTTTCTCGGAAATCATTCGGCAACTCGTATCGCTCGTATCTTTCTGCTACATGTCATCTGCGTTTGGTATTAATATTTCTAGAGCTAATCGAGCACCTCGATCCACTCCGGATTCAAAAAGGTCGAACGGATATTACATTCAAATACAAATATATTTTATATTATAAAATATTTGGAAACTTTATTTACGAAACTGTATGCTTTCCTTTTAGAGGACACACTCGACACAGACGTCGTTCTATCCTTCTTAACATTTAACAAATGATAAAGATAGAATGATGTTTGTGTCGAGTGACGTGTCTTCTAAAAGAAAAGCATACAGTGTCATCATAAAGATGTATTTGATTTAGTTGTAGAAGAAATTTATACGCCTAAATTCAGAAAATTAAAGAAAAAGTTTTATGAAACATAATGTAAATTAGTAACATTTTTTTACTAGTAATATTTATGTAAATAAACTTTTTTATTGTATTAATATATTTTTGTCATTTTTACCCATTATATATATGCTATTGAACTATTATATATAAATCTTATACTATTAAAGATTGTAATAAAAAAATAAACCACGTATACATCGTGAAAATTTTATTCAGAGAAAAAATTCTGATAACGTAAAATCGTTGAACAACACGAAACGATTTTATCCGGTCCAAAATGTCCATCGCGCAACCAATTTAATTTTATATGGATAGAGCGGTTTATAATATAATAAAATAGATTTTTGTGTATTTTGCGAGATTATTTATGCATCGACTGATCATAGTTGAAAAACTTGGCGTGTATTTCTCGCGCGGTAGCCACGTGAAGTTGTCACCGTACGAGGCGTCCTGAAGGTGGCCCCGCACAGACCGCGAACGCGTCACAGCCGCGTCAGCGCCCAGTGGTCGGCCACCTGGCAGATGATAGTTCGGCGCGTTTCTCCCAGAGTGCGCGCAGCGCATGCCGCGTTGTTGAGAGCGATTTTGGTTTGCGCCTTGCGCGCCGCGTCGTGGTTCACCGTCGTCATCGTTGTCGTCATCGCTGTCACCGTCCGTGCGTCGTCTGCATATTGTCGCCCGCGCGGATACGCGCACAGGTTGTCTGGTCGCCACGCTCACCGCTTCCACCGCGAACATCGTGCAGCGTCGCAATGGATCACATCGGCTTGCTGCTGCAGCACTCGCAATACGTGTACGCGATTCCTGTAGGTATCGTGCTGATATGCGCCATTCTCGTGTTTGCCTTCGGCTTCAAGAAGGCCGAGCAGCCACCGTTCGCGCAGCTCTCCTCGGGCTCCGACATGGACCGGAAACTTGCCAGGAAGCGTGGCAAGATCCGTGAGAAGGTTAGTGACAACGTTCGGCAACCTGGCCTTCGCGCGTCCCACCCTCTCTCCCTCTGTGTCGCTCCTTCGCCCCCACGTTCTTTTTTTTTCCTCCGTAGACACGTCGCGGTTACCCGCCATATGGTGGCTCGCCTGTAGGCGCGAGTCGATGCACACGCACACACCCCCGCTAATCAGCTGGTCCCTCTGGTCCACGAGGATGGTCTCGCGAGATGGCTGATTTCCTTTTCCCGTGCGTCGTGACGTAACGTCGCGGCGAAGTCTGTTTGCTTTGTCAATGTGGCGTTTCTTGTCATGTTCCCCAGATATTGCTCATTGCTAAATGGATCTTTTTTATCAGCGCTTTCTACAGAACCTTTTGCTCTCTTTCTTTTTTTAAAGTCTAGAGAATCGCTTACTCCTTAATACCTATAACTTTATATTGATACTAAATATGAGATTTATATGAGATGCTCCTTAAATATTGTAAGAGATTTCGAGGATAATTCATATTAACTCTAACGAAAACTTTTTGTGACCATATGTCTCAAAAACAGCTTAGTTTCAAAGATACCTTTTTATCTTTGGATTTGCTTTTCATTTAAAAATAATATATAGCCCAAAAGATTAGTCTTGATACCTTTAAATTTCTGAAAAAAAAAAAAAAAAATGAAAGTTTTTCTTAATGTTCTATATCTTTGAAACTAAGCTGTTTTGGACAAATTTAATGTGAGGAATTATCCTTAAAGTTTTTTCAGAATATATAAGAACTATTCTGAATAATAAATAAAAATCATATTAGATCATCTATTTTCAAATATGTGCTAATTAAATGAATATATGCGATAAAAAAAGTTCCATTTAATTTAATGTTAATCTATCGTTTAATTATATATTTAATTTTAATAACAAACGTGTACTGTTCACATACTCTTTTCAATATTATAAAAGGATATGTTACATTTTAATATCAGACATCATATAATTTATCAACTTTATCAAACATTATACATTTTGTTATAGAAAGCTGCTAATGGACAAGTTGCATCTGAGAAAACAAGTCCAGCTAAGAAGACATTAGCAGCGAAAGTAGAAGCTCCTAAGAAAGCTACCAAAGGAGATGATGTTGAAGGCAAATTAAAAGAGCGTAAACAAGAAGACAACAAGATCATTGGTACTAAGAAGGAAAAGGAACAGCAATCGACAAAGGCTGGTAAAGAGAACAAAATGGAGCACACGAAGAATAAGAAGAATTTGAAGAATTTATTCCAGGAAAAACCATTGGATTTTGACGATGGTGAGTTGATTTGCAATAAACTCAAAATAATTATACGAACAAAATGCATCTTATCTACTTATGCTAATACATGTAAAATTTACATATTTTTACATGAGTAGATAAGATACATTTTGTTCGTGCAATTACTTTGTTGTTATCTATCGTTGTCAATATTAATAATTGATAACAGGAGATTGGGAGCAAGCTTATTCACGTAAGGATAAGAAGAACAAGAAGAAGGAGGAGGAATCTCCTTCAAAGAAGAACAAGAAAGCTTCTAAGAAGACTGATTTAACAAATGAAGCTAAACAGAAAGAACAAGAGAACTCCGAGATTAAGGATAAGATAACTAAGGAAACCGAAAATGAAGTTAAAGAGGAGAAAAAGGAAGTGATCCTCACATCTATTTCCAGTGAAGAGATAGGTAAAGCTAAGGAACCACAGAAAGAAGAACAGAACAAGGTACACCTTTTATTTTACTTTTATTTAAAACTTTCTGCTATAAACGAATTTATAATTCAATCATAGATTGAGAAAGTCGAGAAGGAAGAGAAAAAATCTGGAAAATCGAAAAAGAATAAGAAAACTTCTGAAAGCGAGAACACACCCGCTTCGGTACCATCTACACCAAAGACGGATAATAAGTCTATTGTGGAGGAGCAGCAGAACAAGCAGGCAAATGTGGAAAATGTAACCAACAATGTAGAAGAAAGTAATGTAGAAAATAAAGAGAAAACCGCCGTGTTTGACGAATTAGGAGGTTTGTTACACTAACAAGGAAATCACGACATTTTATTTCAAATTATGTAATATATTACTTATAATTTGTGTTGTAGATGTCTGGACAGAAGCAAAACCACAGAAAAAAAGTAAAAAAAAGGCTCGCAAAGATAACTGAGGACAATTCCGTGTAACGCTAATGATATTACTCCTTGTGAAAAGGAATAGAGTGAGAATTCTGTTCGGTCCAAAGGGCGTTTGTCACTTTTGACAAATCAGGTGTGTTTCAAATGACTTGCTAATAACCACCTGACTAAATCGTTCCTTTTCCCTTGTACATAGTACCAATCAAACTTAGGTTATTCAATTATGACTTTTTAGTTGTCATGACTTGGAGATGGCGTGAAAACGTCACATGTAGTATGAAGATTTTTTTGTATGTTTTTCATTTCTTGTAGTCCACGTTATCTTGCATTTAATAAGAGTGGCATAAGTCATAGTTTTCAATCAGGCAATTTTTGTACACACATTAGGTTTCATAGGTACCTTTATGCATATCCATAATAGGGTATTATACTTTATTTGTATAATTGTAACTCTATATACAGTGGATATGTATCATAGTTTTGTAATGGTTATGAATGGTACTTATGCCATTTACGTTTTTTGCGTCTCTACGAATTAATGATCTTACAAAGAATATTTTGTATAATCATACTATATTTCTATATTAAGAACAATAATTTTGTGCGCGTTATTGTATTTCGCTGTTACTTAAAAATGCCGATTTTTCTCATTGACATCTTATATTATACGTATGAACGGTTGAAAGGCAAACATAGAAAGTACATCTCTCGGTAATATTCATAATGCAGGACAATCTTTGGAGGCGAGAAACTTATATTGCTGACGTGTAGAATGGATTTTAATAAAAATCATATTTTTCTACACGATTAGTCGCGCTTAGTGACTGATTATTTTCTTCTTCAAGTACTCGAGAATCTATCTTGTAATAATTAATGCATTTCCATATTTATGTACAGCAGCAATATAAGTTTTATGGATGGATATAGATAACATTACAGATATTTATGGCAATAGTAGTCATACAAATGTGATAACGACAATGATTAACTTTGATAGATCCTGATTTATATTCTGTTGCACATTATGCAACAGAATATGTATATATACATGTTGAAATTAAGAAAGACAAAATCTACGTTAGTGGAATATTCTACAGTGATTTACGAATAATGATTTGTTAATTATTTAATGCTGTTATACTTCATGCCAGTGAAAATCTAACATTAACTTCAAGTAGAAGAAAATTTATTCGGCAGAAAGCTAAGGGAAATGATTCAAAATTTTTACGATATGGGTATTTGTACCTACTATATGAATATTATTAGGTGTGTAAAACGTTATGAAGAAATATTGATTTCTTGTTGAATACTTCCAGAGGTGAAAAGTATATGTATATATTTTTATTTTTATCGTGCATCGCGATAGTTAACAATTTTACTTGCGGACGTGAATTAAAGTCTAATATATTGCTCTTTCATACATTTTTGACTATGTTTTTACGTTATGTAATCAAGTCACAGAAAATATTACTATGATAATTTTATAATTATTATAATTATAGTTAATAGATCTCATATATAACTTTATGTCTTCATAAAAAAAAGGTAGAAAAAGGATACGAGAACCACCAAAATGATATTTTTGTATAGTTTTTTTTATACAATTGAATTTTTCTTATCAAATCAAATATTACAAACTGTTTTTTTAAACATTTATCGTCATGCGATAATTGAATAATAACCGAGACGATCAAATGCACATCAAATATCATTTATGAATATAAATCAGCCGTTCATCTCTCATGCTATGCAGGAGGGATAATACATCGATTTCTTAATGACGTTAGAAGTAATCTACTAAAGGATTTTATCATGTATGTATATACTTTATTAACATTGCTATCAGAATATGTTATTAATAACTTCTTTATTGCTATTAGGTGTGTTAAGCTCTATAAAATGAGTGGTGCACATATAAGAATGTTATACATTGGAGATATCGGAAAATTCAGATTTTTCTCAAAGAGTGTCCTAATTTATATTTTATCAGAAACAGAATAAGAATGGAATACATATACATATACGCATTTATATATATACATATATATGTGTGTGTGTGTGTGTGTGTATGTGTGTGTTGTATGTATGTACCCATAAAAAATTATAAGGGAGAACTATTTGATATGAGTGAGCAGATTATTATCGTTGTTGTGTGTGTGCGACAACGTTTATTCTAAATAATTTACTAATTAAGAAAAATGTCTGTTAAAAATTGCGTAAAATTAATGCATCGATAATTTTAAGAAGAGAGTGAGTGAAAGAGGAAGAGAGTGAAAGGATTTGAGATGTATGACAATATTGTGATAAGAATATTATACCTGAGCATTGCTTAAATGTTGCAAATTAACGCTGGAATCACTTATAGCTTTTATGTGTAGAAAGGAATCTTGGGGAGAAAGTACCTCTATCCTGTTTAAATAGCCATTTCATATTTTGTATACTTTATAGTAATATATTCTCGTAAGTACATACATATACGAGACCACGTACAAGACGAAGTTCTACCGTTACATTGGCAAAAGAATTCCGCGTTGTCGTGACCGTCGTGTGAAGTTTACAGAAAGGGAGAAAAGAGTAAAAAAATAATTCAATGAAAACATTGAGCGAGCTTGAATTTTAAACTAGCAAGAACTATCGTCACGCATACACCAAATCGCTTGTGTCGACTGTATACGTCCCGTGCCAAAAGCAAACATCATCTCTCTTCTAGATCATGTTTGAGGCTGAATTTTTCGTACAATAATTCGTGGATATCAAAGGAAATTTAGCATCGTTATTTACGGCTGCTCTTCCTTACAGATATCCAATTTAATACTGAAAATTAATTATTTTGATTAATAAAAGCCTTGAATAATAGTGCTTTTAATACTCAAAATAATTAATTAATCGCTATCTTGTAATATTAAATTTCTGTGAGGATACTCAAGTCTTTTATTTAAGCAGTTACAGGACTGCTTAAATTTCCTTTCATCGTTTGATTCTTTGCGGCATTGTAATCATCTAAGAATGTTATTATAATTCAATTTAATGATAATAATTAGCGATTGTCTGAGTAGTTAACCGAAAGCTGAGTTAATTTGTATAATGGAGTTAAGTTCTGTTCTCAAAACCGCTATAAAATTATTTTTCGAGTCTCTACAAGCATAAACATATAAATACAAAGTTGAACATGTACGTGATCTTTCATGTATCGTGTAGAGTTGAAGCGGCAGATAAAGATATACATATAACGAGCAGTATCGATTTGTATTTTAGCGTAAAAATATCAAATTATTGAATGATCCAATTATAATTGTAAATCGTAATTTTCTGTATCGTCTACTTATGACAAAATAAGTTACGATCCATGACAAAAAGTATAAAATTACTAGTTGTGAACAAGTAGTGTATTCGTGAAGTTACAAGAGTGACTTAATACTGTTCGTAATGATTCAACCAATTAGTTTAATGGACTAGTTAGCAGAGTACTTACACTCGCACAGAGAGACGACCGAACAAGTAGAGTCTGGAGGGACAGTTTTCGAGTCATGAGAAAGAAGTTAGCATATTTTTCTAAACAATGTTTCAAATCGCCACATCATTTACATCGTATGGGATTCTCGACGGAGTTGCGGTTGAATTTGGCGAAACGCGTTGGATGTGCATCGCGTTTCTTTGTAAAGATTTTTCTTAAAATTTTTTATATTTTTTATGTAAATTTCCAAGTTTTTCCGAATTCTTGAATAATTTTAAACTTTTTAGAAAATTTAAGTTTTTTATTACAAATTGGAACACTTTAAAAGTATCGATAGATCCACATTTTTTCTGAAACTCTTCATGTAAATTCTAAAATCTAAGATATTTAAGATTTCTCATTCTATAATTTCTGATAAAACTTTGTAAAATCTGAAAGGATACTTTTCTTCAGAAATTATACAATCAGAAATTTTATAAATCTTAGAATATTTTAAAATTTATATACGTATATATGATAAATTGTAATAAAGAAAATGTAAATTTTCTCAGTACTTCTGAAAAGTTTTATTTTCTTTAAAATACTGACAAAGAGAAAAATTTTCATATCAGGGGTATTCCAAATACCAAGTGATGCAAATCCGACGTGTATTCGCGACAATGAAACGTCCGTTATCACGAGGTCCTACAATAGAAATTCGAGCGGGGAGAGCGATACTCTCTCCTACATGTAGAATACAGCGAAGATTCGCGTGAATCGCAATTAAATAGTGACGGGAAAGCGCGAGGCGGGTAACTGACTAGAAAATCGAGGAAGTATTATATTGCCACTGTACATATGTATATTAACGAGCAATGTTCTCCTTATTAAATGTATATGTGCAATGTTGCGTTATTATACGGTTCATCGATACGGATTCTGCGGCGACAGGGATCCAGAGCTTATGGATATTTCTCTGAAAAGAATCGATCAGCGTCCGACAATACGTGTGCGATCTACTTCTTCTGAATATGATACGAGTTTAATCTCGTCGCATACATAGGTTTGAATAGGCCAAATGGAAACATCGTGATGTACAATTGTATTATTATTGAAAAGATTCTCGGATTTCATTTTCAAAATGGACACACCACGCCGGCACGGCATGCTTGATTATCGTAAATCTGTAATGTGCCGCTCATTTTTCACAGGTCCGATGATAGTCTTTCAATCATGGTTCACGTGTAGCACATTTTGCAAATGTACATTTTCAATTTGCGCATCGAAGTAATGACAGCGCGATTACGATGGCCTACTTTGGACTCGATGTAGCTACAGTTTTTAGACAACTACGGCACACACGAGGACTCTGATCGTATTCGAAATATCGACTGTAACGTAAAGATAAGATAAGAAGAGAAAAAGAAAGATATATATATATATAAAATAAATAAACACGCGACGGTGTCGAATATATACATATTATATTGATATAGAACTATTGCATATAATTTATTTTATTCATCGAGGGATTGCTGCGATTATGACAGCGTATGACAAATTAATATTAAAATCTATGATATATAATATGTATGTGTGTGTGTGTGTGTTTGTGTATGTGTGTGTGTGTGTGCGTGTGTGTGTGTGTGTGTGTGTGCGTGCGTGCGTGCGTGCGCGTATGTGAGTATGTACACACACGTACCTACAATATAAAAGAAACATACATCATATAACATTCGTGTGTTTCAATCATAATTTAAATTTTATCATTAACTTATGTTAATATTAAGGCAAAGCAAGAAAACGTGACGAAATACTTGCGTACGAAATCAATGGGAGAAAATAGTACCGACGAGAAATATTCTGTTTCTGCGAATCGCACACGTGCTCCTCTCTTATTTAGAAATTCGACTATATATATTATCGACACACACACACACACACACACACACACATAAACACAAACACACGCGTGTGTGAGATTTAAAAGATACATATGTACACATTATTATATTTTCGCATTTATCTTGCTCGGCGAACAGAACATTTCTCGCAAAAATATGCTTTTCGGTTGTGATATTTATGCAGGAAAAGAATGGAATGAGTTTAAAAATAAGTTTGATAAAAATGGAGAGAGAAAGAGGGAGGAAAAGAAAGAAAGAAAGAGAGAAAGAGAGCGTGGGAGAGAGATAAACTGAATAAAAGTTATATTTTTTCAGCATTTAATAAGGAGCAGTTATTGCGCCTATATCCAATTTGTACATATGTACATTTATTGATATATTTTGCTATATTTGAAGAAATTCGGAATATATAGATTGCGTGTAATAATAATATTGTATATATAAGAATTTTTATTTCATTTCTTCTTTCGAGTTTAGTTGAACTAATGTACCTTTTATTTTTTTTTTTTACGGATAACTGTTTTCATATTAAAAATACTGAAGTGTTTTACTTGTACAATTCTTATCTATTCAATTTGTTATGTATCTTATCCGAGTAAGCTTGGATAAATAGAATAGCAAATATTTTGTATGCCACATACATTTAGTTGCATTTTCACTATAGATAACATTTCTTTTATATCCTTGAAACTTACAATAAGAATTACATATTGTACAAATATAATATATAAGATTCTTTTAGAGAATTTGCAATTTCTACAGCTTTCCCAATTATTTTTATCGTAATATTATAATTGTTATTTGCGTAAATGACCTTTCTTAGTGTATTTGCTACATTTTCTCTTAAATTGTTTCACCGATTTCTCTCCTTGTTCTCCGTTATTTCTCGCTTTAACAATTTTGCTTTCAGTTTCTGTTATTGATCTTCTCGCCTTGTTGTTGACCAATAGCCTAGCGGACTTCTTGGACGTTCTGCTCTTGCTTTTAACTCTTTTCCTTCCTTTCTTTCTTTTCCTTTTCTTGCGATCCATGTTGGCGATTATCGCTTCGGCGTCCGCCGATATTTTAATCTTCGATTGTTGGATGGCGATCGTCACCCTTGTGAAGGAATCATAGAGAACGTCCCCACAAAATTCGCTGAAACAATATTCCTCACCACATTCTCTGCAGGTTTTCACGCTGCTCTCAATGATCCCCGCACGATTTTTACTTCGTCTTATAGGGCTCGTTGGCGAGCGGCGTTCTTTCGCTATGGTCTTCGCCTCTAATTTACCCATCTCCACCTTGAAGAACGAAGAGATTAAGGAGATAAAATTTGCATTTAGTTTTTATAATGATGAATTAAAAAAATTCATAAAGTTTTAAAATTCACAAAAAAAAATGGTTCCTTACCAATTTCGAGAACATTTCTTCGTCTTGACGGAGCTTTGGTCTGATTGGAGTTAACATTCGCCAATCGATGGCGACTTGTTGCAGCTCCTGCAGATCCAATCCCCTCATATCTGGTGGAACTGGATCTCCATAAGCCCATTCTCTGCCGATATTTTTAAGTTCCTTCTTGGTCGCTTTCCAAGAAAATTCTTTGTCGCGAACCTTCGTCTCCTCTCTTTTTACCTTTGCAATTTTTTTTTATAATTAGAATTTCATAATTGTAAACCTCATGATAGGAATAATATTTAACATATGCCTGATGAAAATTATATATACTATATTACAGAATTTTTACACGAATTAGAATCTTTTTTAAATATTTAGAAAGATATATAAATCTTTTCTTAGAATTTTTTACATAAGTGAATTCTGAAATATAAGTAAATTACATATTCCAAGATTTCTCGAATTCTTTATTTCATAAAATTTTATCAGACATAATGAGTGATCTAATGAATAATGATATAATGTCTAATATGTGAGAATATATCATGTTCTCATATTCTTCCTCTTACAATATTTCAGAATTCAGAAATATAAAGAGTTCTATAAAAGACATAAACTTTCTCGCCATTTTTAATGCTATTCTATTTTGAACTGCATAAAAATTTGAGAAATTTTCTAAATATAATAAATACTTTGAAAATTTTTGAAATTTATCGAAAATATTAGAAAGTTTGTGGATTATCATCGTGTTTTTATCCATTGCTAATATCAACGTTTTTTAAACCTATTGCTGTTTAAAGATTGTCTTCTCTCTTCCCAAAATACCCCTTTAACGGAGTTTACGTAAAGGGAATCCTCCAGAAGAATAACCATAGGAGCAACTTATCATTTTCAGTGCGCTTTTCGTTCTAATGAAGAAAATTGTAAAGTTCACGAAACATTGGTGTGAGCAATGAGTCACGATACGACGATAACTCGCACTCTTTTTGGCACCTCTGAAATTTTTAGTATATTATTATTAGACATTTATTATTGAAACCTTTTCTGGTTTGATCTTAAACTCCGGACAATTTTCCTTGAGTCGCCGGAATTCCTCGTAAGAATTGCAAGTTGCTTTACTTAGATCAGGTATCAAATTCGCATCTTTTTTATCGTCCTTTAGTAAATCGTCCAATTGGAAGGCCATTATCTAAATCTGCAACGTGAACAAAAAGAGTCCGTTTTATCATATGTTGGAAGAAACAAACAAATGTTTCTCGACAAGATCCCTTTCGCATTTTACTCGATCTCACTTTCTACGCAAATGAAAAAAGAAAGAAAATGATGTTCTGATAATAAAATCTTGTAGGCGTTTAAAAGATTTCGGACGCAGTGGGTGAGACCAGACATCGCTCGGAATCCCACTCGATCTGCTTCATCAGAAGTCCCTAGAAAAGAAAAATAAATGCATTTTGAGGAATATTGAAATTTTTCCGAACGTTCATAATAATGTATAATATAATTCAATTTTTTAAAAATGCAAAGTTTTACTTTGTTTTAAAATGTTTTGACCAGTAAAAAATTGTTTATACAAAAACAAATTATATACGTATACACAATTATTCGTATATCCTAAATATTATATTTTACTTTGTGTATAATATTTAAAGATTACACATAATATTATATTAAAAATAATCACTTTTTAAGTAATTATAATTTACAAAATTTATCAATAATTAAAACTTTTTTAATATAATTGTATGTAAGAAATATAAATATGGCGATATAAAAGTTTAAATATTATCTGCTTGCTACATACGCTTTTTAATGATGACAGTTTGGACAAGATTTCCTGTCCGCACCAAATGTTAGAGCTATCTTCATCCGTTTTTCTTGTGTGACTCATATCGCGCCTCGACCGTAATTTCTCGGCATGATTCTCGATAGTAATTTTCCCGTCTTTATCGATTCGCAAAGGCACAACGGAATTCAGACTATCCATCGACAGATCGGCGTCGTAATTCTCGAGCTTCGCCTTACGTCTTATAGTGTTTCGGCTTTTTGACTTTCCGTTATTTGATTTCCGTCGGTCAGGGGACGGTGATCTAATAAAGATAAAATTAATCTCATCTTACAATGATCAAGTTACAGTAAGTAGCATAAAATTGTGCGTGATGCAATAATTGATTAAAATCAAACGAATTCCGTTCTAAAGTTTTTTTTGTCGTAAAAAATGATATAACTTATAAAAAACGTTATTTTAAACTCGTTATTTGCAAATGAGTTAAACGTTACCTTATCAATTATCAGAATTTTTTTAGTTGAGTCATTTTTGAAGTAATAGGTATGATATTATATCCTCATTTATTTATTGATCTTATTTCTTTAAATATTAATGTCTTTTATTTTCCCTAATTATTACTATATTTGAAATTAGACGTATCAATTTTTATCTTCTAGTTTAGATAGTTTAAAAAATTTGATTTAATTGTACTCTGTTTTGAAATTTTTTTTTACCTAGACCCTTCATCACTGGATTCAATTTGTCGTCTTCTTAATCGTAGTCGTCTTTGATAGTGTGGATCTTTCTCGCTTTGCGTTCGATATCGTGTACCTGGGCTGAAAATATCTTTAATAATTATTTACATTCACGACCAACCAACGTTCTTCTGGTCGAAAATAATTTACTTCAAATCCTCATATTATTCTACGAAAAATCATCTATATACATTTATTGTTTTATGTGGTCATTGAATAGTTATAAATAATGAATTAAAATTGGGGGTAAACCGCTCGCTTACGTCTGTCAGTTTTCGATTTTGACATTTCTGAAGTGTTCCAATTTGTATAAGAAATTTTTTTTAAATTATAAAATTAATTAGAAATTTTGAAAAATTGTGTAAAAAATTTCCACCAGATTCTGACGATGGAATATGTTGCTATTTTACACAAAAATATTAAACAATTTAGAGTTCTTTATGTTACATTTGCAAATTGGGATTATTTTTATTAAAATAAACTTACAGTTATAGAGTATTCATTCTTTTTTATCCGAGTTTTATGTCATTTTATCTCTTTAAATCTAATTAGTGCCTTAATTTTAATCAATATATATTAAATGAATTTCAGTGTCAGTAATCATGTTACAGATTTTAGCGTCAGCTCCGAAAGATTGATAAGGACTTTATTTTCTAACTCTTTAATGTGTGTGTGATTGAAACGATGTTACTATAATCATTAAGAGTTACAGAAAAGAGTCCTAATAGTTGTAATATCTTTTTGTGATATCTTTAATTACCGATTAGCGTTCCATCGCGGTCTGCTATCGAGCGTAGTTCTGGGCTGCGATTTGGCTCGCGGAAGAGTTTTTACAGGAATTTCTTCGCCAGGACCCATATTACTTGATCTTCAAACAATTACAATCGTACTGATGTATCGTAATTTTTATTGATAAATTTTTGAAGCATTTTCTGTCAGGCAAGAACAATAAATAGCAGGTTTAAGCTTAATTGTCAAGTTTAGCGTTAGCCAAGATACATTCGAACTTGAAGCAGCAACTTGAGCGAAAGTCCAAGAAAAATAATATCACCAATAATATGACAAATTAAAGAGATTCTAAAGCTGTCTGTTTTGCTGATTCAGTAGGATTTGTACACGTATGATTTACATGACATATCACTACACGCTACTACATAAATATCGTACGCACACATACGTATAATCTAATTAACTAATCATTATGTTGAGTAGTCTCAACAGGACGTCCAGAACGTTCAGCATTACTTGTATTCATATGGCCATTCCGAAATGTGTGAAACCATTTATAAATTGTTCTAATCGAAGGTGCAGTTTCACCATAATATTTATCATGCTTTTCTTTAGTCTCCCGAGGCGATTTGCCTTTCATAAAGTAATGTTTGATCAACACACAAAATTCTCTTTCATCCATTTTTTGGAAATCACTCGACTTCCTCAATTCAAACGAATACTAAACACAGAGAAATAGACCAATGTGATTGAAATTTGGTGTGCGTCATGTGTGTTCTTCTAAGTGATGCTACTAACTGAAAATAACTTTGATACGCACCAACGGTATCATCTCTCTGACTTTGCACGGACTTTTCAAACCACCCTCATACGTGGATCGTTTGATAAGTCCATGCAAAGTTTAAAATATAGCACCATCAGTACGTATCGAGATTATTTTTAGTATTCGGCAACTCTTGGAGGATCACACACACCAAATTTCAGTGAGATAGATCTGTGTTTGGCATTCATTTGATCGATCAAGTACTGTGATTTGCGAAAAATAGATGGAAGAAAATTTCGTGTAGATTCGGCGTGACCACAAAATTGTTCGATTTACGCTACAAAATCCTTCCTCTATTTTCTAAATTTGAACCTTGTTGTGTAAAATCGAACCATTTGAACTGCATCATCTCTTACATTTTAATTATGGAGAATAACTTTTAAATCTGTAAAAGCAGTTAGAAAAATAATCGGTAAAACAGATGACTTTAGGATCCCCTCAAGGAGAATCAAGTGTTATAGGTAAGTTATGCTTTCTATTCTCTTAAGAGAATTAATTAAGAGCATTCAACTTACTGGGTATTTTCCTCGCGCGGATCGGCAGACATTTCACGATAAAGCGTCTTTACGATCATCAAGCTTATTAGTGAACTATACAGTATAAAATAAAAACGATAATTACCGGCAGATACTACCGCATGCAGGGGAGAACACAGTCGTTGATTTCGGCCTCTAAGAAGCCCGGAAATGCGACATCGAGATCGCGAAGATGGCGACTCACTTTTCAATGTTTCTTCGATTGGCGTTTGTCGTGTCCTTCCGGTCCTTCATGGTACCTTGGTCTCCGACCGATTGGTCCTGCAGCTTCTCCTGCAGCTCCTGGACGTCGGATTCCACGTCTGTCTGAGTGCCGAAGTCTCGACCGGCTGGCGTTCTGTATTTGCTCGGCGTCAGCAGTCTGTTCTCCACGACAGTCGACGAGGCGTCCCTCGATGATCTCCTCTGCAGGTTCCTGGGACTGATGTTATTCCTCATGATCGTGTTGAGTCCCAGAGAGAAATAATCCGCGGTGCTCTCTGTGAACCTGCGCGGGCTCGGTGTCATCATCAGGTTCACCAATTGCAGATTCGCCCTGCTCAGGATTTCGGGATCCTCCAGCCGGCCGCTCAACACGATCGCCACGTCTTTGCTCACGGGCATCTGGAGGGATCTCGGATTCAAGTCCAACGTGGCCTCCTCCGATTTGTCCGCGTAGCTTTTCCGTGAACACATTTCTTTCGGATTTTTATCATTCTCGCTCTCCCGATAATTGTCGGTCTCCTTGGCGTTCTTCGGGCTGGACTTTTCCTCGGGATGATCGATCAAGTTCGCGCTTTGCTTCTGCGCTTGCAAACAGTTATTTTCTTCGAGTTTGTCGCTCGTGTTTGCGACCATGTTCGATTCGTTGGAAGACTGCGGCACGATGTCGGTATCTTCGTTGGTGTGTTCCTCTCGCTTTCGTCGATTTTTCCGGTCTTCCTTTGCCAGCCGTTCCGCAGCTTCCAGCACCTCGCGCATGGCCTGCGCCTTCCTCAATTTCGCCTCTTCTTTTTCCCGTATTATTCGCTGCTCCTCTTCAAACCTACAGTGGAATAAATTCATAGATATCCGTCTTTATCAGAATAGATTAACTTTAATCTTGATTCAACTTATTCAATCTTTATCGTTTTTTAATTCTTAGAGCTAGAGAAAGGTGAAGTTTAAGTTGAATCGAACATAAAGTTAATCTACATTGGTAGACACGGACCGTAGTGTAATTTGTAATTTTACAGATAAGAATCTGATGAAAATTTCTCTTATAATTCTGTATGTGATTTTTCAGAATTTGTAGGTGTCAAAGTTTTTCCAAAATTTTTCTGTATAGCTTTTATATAATAACAAATTTTTCAAAATTTTTATAGACATTGGAATATTCTTTAGAAGTGAATAGAAGTCTATACATCTTTTCTAAAATTCTTTATATATAAATTCTAAAATATTCTAAGATTTCTCATTCTGTAATTTCTGAGGAAAACTTATAAAGTCTGAAAACGTCTAAGGTATTGTTTCGAAAATTTTTTTAAACTTAAAATATGACAAATTCGTATTAATATTATATGAAACAACATGAAAATCTTTTTACTCCGCTCCCTTCGTCACCCAGAGTTTATTTTTATTTTTTAAATATTTTATATTCATTTTACCTCGCTTGGTCCCTTTCTCTCTCGCGCCGGATTCGTTCTTCTTCCAACATCTCCTCTCTCATCCGCCGCTCTTTCTCTTCTTTTCTCTGCTTATCCTTCTCCTCGAGTTGCTGCTTGATGGCGTTCTGAAGCTCCAGCGCTTTCTGACGTTTCATTTCGCGTTCCTGAAGGATCTCCGCGTTCATAGGAATGTTTTGACCCCGAAGATAAGACACTTTATTGATATCGGAGCCGGTTGAGCCAGTCGTTGAACTATCCGGGCTGCTGGCACTATCGTGATTGATCACCAAAACCTTGACAAAGAAATATTTGATTTACCTAATTATAAAAACTGTTGGGAATAGATGAAACAAATATTCTCGAATAGTTTTCAATCTTAGAATTTTGAAGATGCTCAATAAGTTCTTTGTAGATAATTGAAATTCTAGTAAACATTACTTGGCTCGATTGTCCTAATCTTGATAGCCAAGAGGGCGGTGGTGGATCACCTCTAGCGTCTTGACCCCAGACACTGCCCCATCTTGGCCTGTTGAGTTCACCCAATCTACCGGGCGAAAGCCTTCTCGACGGTGGCAGTGAACTTTCCGGCGTAATGCAGTAAGGATTTTGCCATGTTTTTTCCGTCATTTCCATCCTGGTTGCTGCTTTATCAGGCAGAGCTCCTTGATTCAATAAAATATGAAAAATAAATTATTATTGCTAAGAAGAATAGTTAAAAGACATATGATATTCTAAAATTAGTGCTATTTGTAGATGTATGTTTGAGTTGTGTGTGTGTTCTTTGTTATTTAACGTTTTATTTTGCTGTATACATTCCGAGTTATACAAAGTTAAACAATAGTATAGCACTTTGCTAATGTGATCCTTAAGCGTGCTGATTGCTGACAGTCTCTTTATCGAGATTTCCATAGCAAAATAATTATTCTATTGATATAACAGATTGTAACTCTACTGTTAATCTATATACATATTACATATATATATATATATATATATAGATTTCTAATACTAAGCAACTTATTATATATGGCAGGAGTTATGTATACACACATACATATATATTTATATATAATTTAAATACATATACTCTACAATATTTTACTTTGTATGTTGATTTTGTATATATATTCAGAAATTTTACAAAATTCTGAAAATTTATATGAAAAATTTTGAGAAAATCTTTGACTTTCTCGAGCGCAAAGTTTCCTATTATAAAAAATTCCTTCTAGTTTTATTAGTCAACAGCGTATCGGTGTACCATTTCTGAAAATCATATGAAATGTATAGGGAGTACAATTTAGAAGGACTCACTTTGCTCCGCCTGTGGTACATCCACGGAATCGCTGGCGTAACCGGAAGTTTCGCCCTCGCGTTCCTCTGGCGAGCCGTAATGTCGAGCTTCTTTTTGGTTCTCGCGATGCTCGTTGGATCGATGGCAACGGTGTTCCAGTTTTTGCGATCTTTGTGACTGGTATCGCGATCCCTCCACACTGAAGTCACGCTGTTGTTCCTACAATGGCGAGATGATGAGGATAAGACGTAAGCGGACTTCGGCAAGCGAATGGAAGGTGGGTTTGCGTGATCGGTGAGAGGGTTCCGACTTTCGTGAAGGAAGAAATTGTGTTCCGTATCTGGTTCTATATACATATTGTGGTTGAATATTACTACCGTACCTGACGGAGACGGGACGCATACATAAATCATGCACGTTCTGGTTTTTATTTTTATCCGTTTACATACATAATGAAAATCGATACGAGCGGTTGTGTGGCATGATTTTCCTTAAAAATTAATTAAATACGCATACACCTATATGCAACTTTTTTTTATTTATTATATCCGTTTTACAGCCTTGGCTAAAAGTATAAAAAAACACTCTTACAAATTGATGTAAATGTTTTATATATCTACGGAAAGAACGGTTTTGTTGAAGTATCTATCAATTTAGATAGATATATACAGAGCTGAGAAAAAAACTTGTTAGACTAAAATATAAAGAACACTAAAGCTGGTTGTCATAATAATGTCAAAATTTTTTGCGGCATCGATCATATTTTAATTTCTTACATAATTATCGTATTTTTATGGTTTAACAAAATTATTTTCAGACCTATTCAGATAAGTTTTTAGACATTTTAGTAATTCGTTTTTTTTTCTGTAACGAAAAATAAATTAAAAAATAGACCTATAATAAAAAATAATAGTTATTATTTTTATAACAATTTTAAAACTAACAAGTTTAAAAGAAAACTCTTTTAGATTTTATTAGTCTTGTCTAAGAAAAAGTAAATTGAGGTCGCTTTATACTTTATTACCAAGATTGTACTTATTGCATGCACTTTCTATGTAGGAGTACTATAGTAAATAATTTGAGAAATATGCTTGCAATGGATATTGCAACTCCTTGCATAATTAAATAGTTCTATATTTACTTCAGAAAGATTTAGTTTACCCCATTTTTGAATAATTTTTTTAAAAATTTTTTATGAAAAGAAGAAATAAATTAAACTATTTCGTTAAATTTTTTAATTGTAAGATCAATTCAAATGCGAAATATTTTTTGGAGGCAACGATTGCGATAAGATATGTGCTATGAGTAGTTTCAACAATTAATGCCTGCTCGTCACTCTTAAGTTCGAAAGGGAGGTATATAGCCTTGAGGTCGTTGAACTTCAACCGCACGATAAGAATCGATTTGCCGGACTGCCTTACTTTTGCTTTTCCCTCGTAAAAGGGCAACGTACTGTCGAGGATCTCTCACTATTTATGAAATTGTGATTAGCCGCGCAATCGTTAATATTGAATCTTGAATTAGAGTTCGAATATGAATTCTCTGTAAGAGGATTTACTCAGTCAATGCTTGCCGGTATAGAACCTTTATCATCAAAGTTGTATTGCTTAAATGAAAATGAATTTATATGATTTCGAAGAAATCATATAAAAATAATGTGTAAAGATTATAGGAATAAAAAAAATCATTCTGGTGTGCTTAGTAATTTTTTCAATATACATCCTCGTATAAATATAAAAATTTGTGCTACTTAATTATTCGATTATTTCTTAGCTATATATGACACATTGTATGCGCGGCGGAACATTGCAGTTACACGCAAATAAGCCTCACGATATGTGATCAATTATTCAAATAAATCAAAGATAACATTTTATTAACGTATTGTGTATATCTTCCAGAGTTTTTATTCGTATTATATTTTATATTTCGTATTTTATTTGTATTAAAATTAATTCGAAGTTCAATATATCAAAGTTATTAGTAAGTTAATTAAATTTTTAATTAAAAATCCATACCGTAATAAAATTCAAAAAATTTCAGTAAAGAAAAGAGAATAATAATTGTCTTGCAATCAGTTATTCATAAAAAAATTTGAAAAATTTAATTAAGATAATCAAGATGAAGAATTCTCTTACAATTAGATATCAATATTGAGCTCTTTATTTTTATTAAAATCTTTCCAAAATTATTTTTTATTGTTATGTATAGCTAGGATATCTAATTTATTATATGTAATATATATATATGTATCTATAGAGAGAGATACTTATTAGAGATACATGTAAATTAAAAAATATAAAAAAATACATACCAGCTGACAGAAATACTGCTGTTGATCCTTATTGAAGATCGGAGGCAGACTGGGACTTCTGTGTCTAACTTGCGATGTCTCTACTTGGTCCCGAAGATTAATTAAACTGCCACTGTTATAGTCAAGACACTTGAGATTGTTGTTGCCATTCCCAGAACTTTCCGTTTCTAGACTTTTTAGACTGATGGCGCTTCCGTAATGTCCGGCTGTACGGAAGGGTTGCACGGGAGATCTATCTTTTAATTCCCCTAAGGACAATCTGGCTTCGTTCGAGTAAGTGCTGTATCAGAGATTTCTTATTTTAATCAGCAATTCAAAATTTTTATTTTATATTAACAAAATGAATGATGTTTTAAAATTACTGTTTAATATGTACAATATATGGAGAAAAATTTCTTTTGGAATTTAGCGCAAACACATCGCATAAAATCTATAAATTAAATTTTCTATAAATTAAATATTTAGAGACATTGACCAAGAAAAAATTATTAACTCAAAGAAAAATTGAACTAAAAAATGTTGACTATTAATCGATTTTTCAAAAAAAGAAAGTATTCGATTTTCAATTTATCGATTATTTTTGCTCATCCCTATAATTGGCATCTGATCTGTATTAAAATGTATAAATGTGTAAATTTTGTGAAACGTTTTATAAATCTTTTGTAAATATTAAAACAATTTATAATGTACTTGGTAATTTTTATTATGTAGTTCATAAAAATGTTATCTGTATATTTCAAAAATTCCTATCTTTACGATAATATTTTAATAGTATATTCCCAAATTGTCTCACGCATTTATTATTAAACATAGTAAAAAATTTATAGTAAATTTTGCGTAAAATATAATAAAAAAACTGTTTATTAAGAGGTTGTATTAAAAGCCGCTGTTCACGTTTAGATGACTTTAATATGCTGTAGTAACGTTACTTATGTCATTTTGATCATTTCTCTCTCTCTCCCACTAAAATTCAGTCAATAGACGCCATCCTTATTTACACATGTGCTTTTCTATAACTGAATTAAAATAGAACGCGATAAGTTGTTTTTCCCATGTATACTTCTACACTATTTTGATTTAAAAAAAAAATGCAGCTAAAACTCATCGATTGTTTGCGGAAACTTATGGTGAATCTGCTCCATCGGAAACAGTATGTAGAGACTGCTTTCGACGATTCAAAAGTGATGATTTCACGGTCACAAAGCAATGCTCTGTATTTGATAAGATACGAAGAGTGTCGTGTATTATGAGCTGTTGAAACGAAACAATCACTGCCGAGCGTTATTCACAATTGAAGCGTTTGAATGATAATTTGATGCAAAAAATTATTAATTGCATCAAATCGTCAAAATATGATTCTTCTCCTGACCATATCCATGATAACTCTCGACTCATGTTGATGTAGCCATGAAATAAACACTGATGGATCTCGAATAGAAGGTTCTTCCGCATCCAGTGGACTGTTCTGTGGACTTGCCACCAAGCCTCATCTGTTCCGATTGATGCAACACGCTTTGGAAGATACACACTTCCGTAATTAGGTATAGCGAAGTCGAAAATATTAGGTTGCTGAAGGATTGACTCAAAAGACAGATCATTCTTTCGTTGCGGAATTCAACTTAGAAAAGTGGCAAAAAGTTATAGCTTCCGAGGGAAAATACTTTGATTAAGGTGTTCATATATTTTGTTATTACAATTAATGCTCAAATACAAAAAAAACATCGGCTTTTAATGCAATCCCCTAATATATATATATAAATAATAGCTATTTTGTTGCGCTCTATAAAACAATTAAAGTTTAATTTAAATTCTTATTATAATTGTAACGATAATGTAATAATATTTTTTAAAATATATTTACCGGATATGAGTGCGGTTGTAATTGTTATTTGGCTTCAGGGTTCCCCAATTAACGCCCAGACGAGCCATTTCTTCTATAATTATAATTGATATAAACATTGTGACAATTACACAGCGCGCAAAAGTACATTGGAAATGGTATCTTTTATTTACATAACAGGAAAAAGTTTTAAGACGTGGGCTTGTGTTTTATAGACGTATACAGTTATTATTATTTGTTATATGTAATATAACTTTTAAATTAACTAGTAGTTGTTTTAACATAGCCGTCGGAGACACTACCGCGTCTCCTGATAATATTGTATTAGATATTATTATTTGTAATTATTTGATATTATCTAAAATAAAAGAGTATGTATATACTTCTCATGTATACATACTTTTTTATTTTAATATTATTTTATTTTAGATACAATAATATCTAATCATTACAAATATTTATAAATTACGCAGTAAATTAAAATATTATAATAAGTTCTTAAATTATATACATACATATAAAATATATACATATATATTTTATATATACGTAATAAATATATAAAAATAAGCGAAGATGAAAGTTTTATTCGATCAAAACGAAATTTATGCAAAAGTATTATTAGACATCAAGATTTACTTTGAATTGAAATAAAAGAATTTTTACTTCTTTATCTATTTGTGTTTATTTATTTACATATTAGTCAATATTCCATTTATTATTATAAAAGAAATAATTTCACACACACACACACACACACACACGCGCGCGCGCGCGCACGCACGCACACACGCGCGTGCAAACACAATATAAACATACATTTATTTATTCATGTATCAATATATCTCTCTCTCTCTTTTCATTTATATTATATTAAATAAATTAAAGTAAGTGTTATAAAAAAAAATAATACAAAATATTAATATTTGTAGACTGAAATTAAAAAATACTATCTAGGATAGAATTCTATCGATCTAAAAAAAATTTTACAGGATATAGTAAAAACTCTGTCATAAATTACTTAACAATTGTATTATTAGGTTAATTGGAAAGTTCCGTCCATCTAGCAGCTAGTATCTATAACTGGAATTGTTGATAACTTTAATGTCTAAATCAAGCTTAATTTTTTAGTTTTATCATCTGTCAATAAAATTCAGTATATAAAATAAAGTATACGTTTGCATCAATAACATTGTTTCTTACTGCATCGAAAATGTCGAAATTTGAGCCAAATAAACGTCATTTGCGCGAAGTGTTAATCTTTTGCTTCAAATGGAAAAAAATTGCAGCTAAAGCTCATCGAATGCTTGTAGAAGTTTATGATAGTGCTCCTACCGATAAAACATGCAGAAAATGGTTTCGACGCTTTCAAAGTAGTAATTTTAATTAATTGTGGAGGATAAAGAGCGTTCTGGACGGCCAAGAACATTTAAAGATAAAGAATTGTAGGTATTGATGGATGAAGACCTATGTCAAACGCAAAAACAACTTGCAGAAGCATTAAATTGTACTCAATCAGTTATTTCCGATCGTTTAAAAGCCTTAGGAAAGGTTTACAAGGAAGGAAAATGGTTTCCATATGAACTGAAGCTAAGAGACATTGAAAGGCGAAAAACCACTTGCAAATTCTGTTTACTAGGAAACAAAGAAACGGGTTTTTGCATCAAATTATGACTGACGATGAAAAGATGAGGATCTATTTCGATAATCCCAAATGCTGAAAAACCATTTGCGATCCAGGCCAACCATCGACATCGACGCTGAAACGCAATATTCACGGAAAGAAGGCCATGCTCTGTATTTGGTAGGACTAGAAGGGTGTAGTATACCATGAACTGTTGAAATTTGGTTGAACAGTCACAGGAGATCTCTACCGAGAACAAATAATCCGTTTGAGCCGAACATTGCGCGAAAAACGACCAGAATATGAGACAAGACAGCATAAAGTGATTTTGCTTCATGACAACGCTCGATCTTACGTTACTAAGGCTGTTAAGGAAACATTGGAAGCACTTCGCTGAGAAGTGCTATCCCATGCGACTTATTCACCACGACTGTGCCCCTTCCGACTACTACTTGTTTCTGTTGATGGCACACGCACTTGCTGAGAAACGCTTCAATTCTTATGAAGACGTCGAAAAATTGGTTTCTGACTGGATAGCCTCCAAGGATGAGTCATTTTTTCGCCGCGGAAATCGCTTATTGCTAACAATGGACAATATTTTGATTGATGTACTTTTTCATCTTGTTTTTTAAATAAAATCATACTTTTTGCAAAAAAACGGACGGAATTTTTCGATTGACCTAACATAAGTAATTACGAAAAACCTTATCAGTGCGAATTTTGTGAAGATAAATTTAGGTGAATATTTTAGTGAAGGACAAGATTTAAAATAATTATTTGGCAATTCTATATCAAAATCAAATTAATTGATAAAAAATAATAGATATTACAACGTTTTGCAGACAGAAAGAAGGCCTAAGACATCACGTGGTGGCAAAGCATAGCAATGATGAATGTTACAAGTCTAATAAAGGCCTATATACTGAAGATGAATCATACAAATGCGGAACGTATAATATAGAGTTTAAGAATGAAGCGCAATTGCGTAGTCATGAGAGAATTCATAAAGACGAACAACCTTATCGTTGTGAGTTTTGTGGACAAATGTTCAGGTGGGTGTTTAAATGAACAACAAAAATTAAAAGAAAATTGTTCGGTTATTCTATCCCATTATTTAAATTAACTGGTAATAAATAATAAATCTTGCTACGGATATTTTACAGTGGAAATGAAAAACTAACAGCGCACAAAATAATTCATGCCAATTACGAATGTGAAAAATGTAAAATGTGTTTCTATTGTGAATGGACATTGCAATATCATATAAATTTGGAGCACAATGATGAAAGACAAAAATTTTGCGAGGTATGTGCCTTAAAATTATCTTTTTTCTAACTTTTTCTCATTTCATCGTTTTTATTTTTACGTTTTTATAAATTACTTATGAATATGTTAATTAGTTTTTTGTTCATGGTAAAGCCTTTGTTACCAAAATAAAATCAAAACAATCACGATTCTGTAAATACAGAAAACAATACCATCGTTTCGTTTCTAGAGTTTTAAGATAAAATCAGGATTTTAGGTACACAACCTAAATGAGAACATTCATCTGAAAATGATTTAATCCATTAGCATGTTTTCATTTATCTTCATATTTCTGTTACAAGTACTCATAATTATATTATGATAGAAAAAATTGTATATTATACGTAATTAAAATGTAAAAAATTATTTTATGATTAATTTGCAAATACAATGCCATAGTAAAAACCGAGATTGACAATGGAGTAGATGATCATATATAACTATATCTACTTTTAATAACAATGACGAACCAATGATGAAGAATGTTGGAAATAAAGATGTAATATTTTTAAGTTGTATAGTATGTATAGATAGAAGTCTAAAATTAATTTAATTGTATAAATAGTAATGTTGAAAACTCGCGCGCGCACGCGTGCGTACGTCTGACTTCGAAAGTATTTGAATGTCAATGAGGGGCAGTTCGACCACTTCTAATTATTTTAACATATTGTTTCAATATATGTTCAGCAGCTGTCCATATGTTGCTAGATAAAAACTAGGTATATAAAACTATTCTTTTACGAGATATTTTATAGTTTATTGTAACATATATTAACAGAAAATACTAAATATTATGTAAACTACTGGGTCTTTGATATCTGTACCAATATGACCAAATCGAAAATCATCAAATGAAAGGAACATCACATTTATGCTGTTCAAAATTTCAACATCTATATTCACTGTCTGTCCCGATTTCTTATTCGGGTACTCGACTACTATTACGGGTACATAAGAAAAGATCCATGATAAATCTGTATATTTCTGATACTGCAACATATTAAAGTAATACAAGGTTTTAATTAGAAATAAATAACAATTAAGTGAACTTCTATTTTCCTTTCCCTTCAATTTTTGTTATTCTCTCTCTTAAGACAAAAAAATTTAATTTTTAAGTGCAGCTTTTAATTTTTTAATACAATTAATTTGACACACTTTATAGCATGTTATCATATCTATATAAGATTTTTATATTTGTTGGCGAAAAATTTGAATTAAAAAAATGAAATAATTTTTAATGTAAAAGACTTGGCGCCGCTGCACCAAATAAACAAAATGATTTATTCTTTTTTAATAAAATAACAATCAAGTATTTGCAAATTTGTTTCAAAAAGTAAATTGTGCTATTACGACAATAGACTAGCTTCTCTCTTCTTTTTATCGATGACTATAGAAAAAATGTTACATATACAACTATATGAGGTACACTAACACATTTATTTACATATAAAAATTTATGGACTGAGTATTAATTCTCTTTTATTTCATTGTCACTACCTAGATTGTCTTTTTATAACTAACTGAAATTTGACTTGCAACATTGGACAAAACGAAGAATGCGAAATTAGAAACACAACAATTTAATTAGAAACACATCTATTTGTAATTTTTGTAAAAGCAATATTAATGTTTTTTGTAATTTAATCACGCTTTATAGTACATTGTTTAACAGTGGGGGATAGTTGTTTATAATGCGGGACGGGCGCGACCGCACGAGCGAAGCGAGTGCTTAAGCGCGACCGTGTCGACCTATAAACAAATATGCCCCCACTCGCTACACATAGAATTTTTCATTACAAATGCTCGTCGTAATATGCCCTATACATCAACGTTTTTGAGCAGAAGAGTGGGATTAGAGAAATAACTCAACGGCTTGAAGTATTGGCTACTTACCGCACGCAAAAGCGTTGCGGTACTGGGCACATTACGTGCACGCGTGATGAAAATTATGATTTTTATTTTTTAACTGTAACGTTGAGTATGACCCGATCGGAGTCGAAACATATGGGTGTATTATTTATTATATTAAACTTCTTTGTTACTTTATTTACATAATTGATATCATTATTTAATTTCAAAATCTTTAAATAACATAACCACATTATGTCTGTGTTGACACAGACGTGAGTGGATCGTTTTCAATACAAATTCAAATATTTTTTACTGTGTGTAATACTACATAAAAAAATGTTTAATTGACTCAATTATTTTAATTCGCTTTTTTTATTTCTTTCGAGAAAGGATATATTTATTTGTGTAAAATATACATAAAATATTAAACTCGTATTTATATATTCCTTATGAAAAGAAATAAATACAGATCAAATTGATATGAAATAAATAAATACTTTTCTCGGAGTAACGGTACATTATAGTTGTATAGGTATTATGTATATACACATGTGTATATGAAAGTACACAAATGTATCAGCTCAGTCGTTCCCAAGATTTTAATGTTGTTAGTTGTCAGCAAATAATTGAAAAAATTCAACCGTATATGTACTTCTACATCTTGATTACGTCTAATCCGTAAGTATTGCATTTAAATCATTAAAATTTATTTTTTAAACTGTCTAAAGTCAGACGTTGTTCTAATTTTACAGATGTCTTCTCTTTATAATTTAGTCTAGTTTTGACACAACCTTCTCTTAATTACTTTTTACTTTTGATGAAAGTTATCAGTATATTATAATTTTAATACCCAGAATTATGCAAAATCAATTATGCCTATATATTGTCTATTGATGACTGAATTCTTTCTAATTCTTATTTAGCAAATTTTAAAGCATGACAAGCAATTATATTTCATTATTCATGTTTATTAGTTTTTCTTCTCCCATTACTGCCCAGGCTTTATTAGATATTTATTTAAGATATTTTTAACTTTCATAACAGTTTGTTATAGACACGTACTTATTCGTACTCCGTTTGAAATACGTTTAACTATTTTCAAAAAGTTTTTCAATGTTTTCATGTTTCAATGTTTTCGTCAATTTAATTTATATATTCATCGATAAAGATTTCATACAGTAAAAGAGTAACATTCGATATTCGCTAAGACAGTACACGCACATTTGGTTATCTTATACCTAATTAATAACATTATTTCAGCCGTTTTGAACATTCTTATAACAGTGCATTATCCTGTCGTTTTGCAAAAAAAAAGTTTTAAGTCGCATAATAGGAAAAAATACGTTAAAGTCAATATTCCTTGATGCAATTTTATTAAAAAAAATTCATGTGACAACAAAAAATTGTATTCTTTTACGATTTTAGTTGAGTAAAATGAAAAGTGACTAGATATATTTAGACTGTTAGAACTACGAAAGAAGTTTAGAGGACCTTACAATAAAGTGAAATAAAAAATACCATTTCAAAATTCGAGAGTTGGATCTGAAAAAAAATGAATCAAAATGATGGAACGCACAATGGAACAAATGAATATGTACGCCAACAGTGCGGTAAGACTTATTCAGATTATGATACACATTTTTAGTGCTTTTGGTAATTTTATGAGTTATATTTTAATAATTATCTGTTTAATCTGTTACCATTTTCATATTTAATATTAAGATGAGCGCTCTGACACCCTGACAACTTCAAATCAAAAGAATAGAAACGTATATATTGAAATTAGACCACACATATGCGGAACGTGTGGTAAAGGGTTTAAGTCTAAATACAGTTTGCGTCGTCATGAGAGTGTTCACAAAGACGAAAAACCTTATCATTGTGATTTTTGTAGACAAATGTTTAGGTGGGAGTTCAAGTGAACAATAAGAGTTAGGAAAATAATTTTGTAATTTTATATCAATGATTCAGATAACTGGAAAAATAATAAATATTGCATTTTTCTGCAGACGAAAAGAAACCCTAAGACGTCACATGGTGGCAAAGCATAGCAATGATAAACGTTTCAAGTCTAATAAGGATCTATATACCGGAGGTGTATCATACAAGTGCGGAACGTGTAATAAAGAGTTTAAGGACAAAGCGCAATTACATATTCATGAGAGAACTCATAACGGAGAAAAGCCTTATCAATGCGAATTTTGTGAAGATAAATTTAGGTGTGTATTTAAGTAAACTATAAGAGTTATAGGGAAATGTTTTGGTATTTCATTATCAATGATTAAATTAACTGATAAATGTAATAAAAATTGTAACGGTCGTTTTGCAGGATTAAAGTTCACCTAACATCGCACATGGTCGCAAAACATGCCGATGATGAACGTTTCAAGTCTAATAAGGATCTATATACTGGAGGTGTATCATACAAATGCGGAACGTGTAAAAAAGAGTTTAAGAACAAAACGGATTTTAATAGGCATGAAAGAACTCATACAGGAGAAAAACCTTATCAATGCAAACTTTGTGAAGATGAATTTAGGTGAGCATTTCAGTGAAGGACAAAATTTAAAATAATTATTAGGCAATTCAATAACAAAATTAAATTGATAAAAAAAATAAATATTGCAACGGTCGTTTTGCAGTTGTAAAGTAAACCTAGAACAACACGTGGTGGGAAAGCATTGGAATGATGAACGTTATAAGTCTAATAAGGACCTATATATTGAAGGTATAACACACAAATGCAGAACGTGTAATAAAGAGTTTAAGAAAAAAGTGAAATTGCATAATCATGAGAAAATTCATAAAGGCGAAAAGCCTTTAAACCCTAAGTGCGAATTTTGTGAAGATAAATTTAGGTGAGTATTTCAGTGAAGGACAAGATTTAAAGTAATTATTTGGCAATTCAATATCAAAATCAAATTAATTGATAAAAAATAATAGATATTGCAACGTTTTGCAGACAGAAAGAAGGCCTAAGACATCACGTGGTGGCAAAGCATAGCAATGATGAATGTTACAAGTCTAATAAAGGCCTATATACTGAAGATGAATCATACAAATGCGGAACGTATAATATAGAGTTTAAGAATGAAGCGCAATTGCGTAGTCATGAGAGAATTCATAAAGACGAACAACCTTATCGTTGTGAGTTTTGTGGACAAATGTTCAGGTGGGTGTTTAAATGAACAACAAAAATTAAAAGAAAATTGTTCGGTTATTCTATCCCATTATTTAAATTAACTGGTAATAAATAATAAATCTTGCTACGGACATTTTGCAGTGGAAATGAAAAACTAACAGTCCACAAAATAATTCATGCCAATTACGAATGTGAAAAATGTAAAATGTGTTTTTATTGTGAATGGACATTGCAATATCATATAAATTTGGAGCACAATGATGAAAGACAAAAATTTTGCGAGGTATGTGCCTTAAAATTATCTTTTTTCTAACTTTTTCTCATTTCATCGTTTTTATTTTTACGTTTTTATAAATTACTTATGAATATGTTAATTAGTTTTTTGTTCATGGTAAAGCCTTTGTTACCAAAATAAAATCAAAACAATCACGATTCTGTAAATACAGAAAACAATACCATCGTTTCGTTTCTAGAGTTTTAAGATAAAATCAGGATTTTAGGTACACAACCTAAATGAGAACATTCATCTGAAAATGATTTAATCCATTAGCATGTTTTCATTTATCTTCATATTTCTGTTACAAGTACTCATAATTATATTATGATAGAAAAAATTGTATATTATACGTAATTAAAATATAAAAAATTACTTTAGGATTAATTTGCAAATACAATGCCATAGTAAAGACCAAGATTGACAATGGAGTAGATGATCATATATTACTATATCTACTTTTAATAACAATGACGAACCAATGATGAAGAATGTTGGAAATAAAGATGTAATATTTTTAAGTTATATAGTATGTATCGATAGAAGTCTAAAATTAATTTAATTGTATAAATAGTAATGTTGAAAACTCGCGCGCGCACGCGTGCGTACGTCTGACTTCGAAAGTATTTGAATGTCAATGAGGGGCAGTTCGACCACTTCTAATTATTTTAACATATTGTTTCAATATATGTTCAGCAGCTGTCCATATGTTGCTAGATAAAAACTAGGTATATAAAACTATTCTTTTACGAGATATTTTATAGTTTATTGTAACATATATTAACAGAAAATACTAAATATTATGTAAACTGCTGGGTCTTTGATATCTGTACCAATATGTCCCAATCGAAAATCATCAAATGAAAGGAACATCACATTTATGCTGTTCAAAATTTCAACATCTATTCACTGTCTATCCCGTTTTTTATTCGGGTACTCGACTACTATTACGGATACATAAGAAAAGATCCATGATAAATCTGTATATTTCTGATACTGCAACATATTAAAGTAATACAAGGTTTTAATTAGAAATAAATAACAATTAAATGAACCTCTATTTTTCTTTTCCTTCTATTTTTTTTATTCTCACTCTTAAGACAAAAAAATTTAATTTTTAAGTGCAGCTTTGAGAATGCAGCTTTGAGCTTTTTAATACAGTTAATTTGACACACTTTTTAGCATGTTATCATATCTAAAGAAGATTTTTATATTTGTTGGTGAAAATTTAAATTAAAAAAAAAAAAATAAAAAATTTTGAATGTCAAAAAACTTGGCGATGTTATACCAAATATATAAAATTATTTGCTTTTCATTAACATAACGCAAATCTTACAAATTTAAATATTTTGTTCTTGACCTATTCTTAATTCTAACTAATCACTTTTACAATATGTGACGCACATCTTTTGATGTATGTTGCATAATATAATGTCTACCCTAAATTACTCACTCGTAAATCTTTTATTTTTTTACTTAGTCATAATTTCTTATTATTACTTATAAATGGTTGCCATTGGTTGCGTTCAGCAAACTCAATCGTTGCGGAATGGATCCGTGAGTGATTGCTGTTGTTGGACGATCTAAAAAAATACATCAATAGCAATGAGCATTCACGGATCCGCTCCCGCAACAGTTGAGTCTGCTGAACGCGACCATTATTTTCTTTATTTGGTAGCGGCTCCAAGTTTTTTTTATATTAAAGCTAGAGTTTTTAAACAAAGGTTGATAGATCTTTGAATGGGATGACAAAAATATATATGTAAGTACTTTGGTATTATTTTTTAAAAACATTACTTGGGTTGGAATTATAAAGATTCTTGAATGAGAATATATATAAAGTTTCACATATTTAAAAAAAAATATATTACTTTGGTAAAATAGAAAGTATATAAAGTTTGGAATAGGTTTGATATTTATTTAATGTTTTAAAGAGAGCAGTCCATTGTAAATATCCTATCAAACATGGAAATACCTAATGTTATAGAAAACAGAATAATTATAAAAATTATTGTTTTCTATAGACAGTATTCATATATATATTGGCGTAAATAATATTATAAAAGGAATTGAACAATCAGAATATAATAAAGCTTTTAAGGATATCTCTGGTACATGGAGGCACAAAAAGTGTTTATTTAATAGTATCACTTCCTTTAAAAAACATTCATTGTGCTTCAATATTAAGAAACATTTAATTAAAAACATCGTCGACAAAATAATTGTTTAAAATGTACGAAAAGAATTACATTAACTTTACCGATTGCAGAAAAACAAAAAAACTTTTAGCGTTACTATATAAATTTAAAACTGGAAAAGCGAGAAAGAGAGCTACCTGTATTAAAACCAGAACTTGTCAATTGGTGAAAATTAAAGATTAATTTTATTTTTTTTACCTATATTTTACTTATTTGTTTCGTTTTATTAATTATACAATTGCGCGGAAAGAATCGTTTTGCTGAAATTTCTAAAAATTTAGCCAAATACAAATTTGAAAATGACTCGGATCATTATAATTATTTAAAATAATTTAAAGAATGTCTTCGTCTTTTGTAGAATTATCATTGTTTCAGTCTTATATAATTATACTTTTAGATATTATTATGTAATAAAATTTTTTTTTATTTGACCGAATTTTTGAATACTCAGCAAAACCGTTCTTTCCATGTATAAAAAAATAAAACATTAATAATAATAAATAATTTTTGTTATAACAAAGCAATGACATGGTAATGTCCACGTTTTTACCTTATGAGGTTTGGTATACAATTAAATTAAAATAAAGGCCGAAATGTTTATTCTCAATTTCGTATATATATGTATATATATATAGTATTTCGTAAAACAATAAAATTAATGTACGAAAAATTTATTTCGTTGATATATCATCAGTCGAAAAATTTATTAGAAATTGTAGAGATCGCTTTGGTTACTTTGTTCCTCATGGCGCTGCTGTAAATTTTATCTTTACGTGTTGCACTTCATGCACTCGATGCAGTGTTGTTTATTCACCTGTCATCTCTATTCTATCAGATTCTACACCATCTAACACTATCATAGATTTTTTTTCTCTGATCTCTCAAGCAGATGCGTATTCTGATTCTGTTATTAAAAGTTATGTCGTTAGATCAGACAGTATGCGAAGGTAAAGCACATTAATATGGTGATAGATGTCACGTTGTATTTAGGATTAGTTTACAGATAAACAATCTGTCACTGTAGTACCAGTGTGTATCAGTTATCTTCGATTAAATGACTCTTGTCATTTTTAACCATTATTCCGAATCGATGTTCAACAGACAATTTAGTCAAGTTCAATTGGCTTTAATGACATTTGATATAAATGATTGACTCGTTGGTTTTGAGGTTATTTCTGAAGCTGAACTGCTTCTCGCACTTTCAGATCTCAAAGCTTTCGAAAGACGACTCACTGAAGTTATCGCCAGCCTGCAACCAGCTACTACACGATGGAGAAGTACGCTTCTTAAACTCTTTTTCTGTGTGTTTATAATGCCAATGTGTATTCATAAAATGTGCTGTAACATAATAGATAATAATTCTTTAAATTTTTTCTAGTTTTATCATTCTGATAATGTATACTGAACAATTTAGCTTGTTTAGAAGTTTCTTGCTCTCTTATATAATAATTCTTTAATTTGCTGGTTATGACATATAAATGATACATATCTGGATATTCTTACAGTGCTGTTGGGTTTAATGTCTATTTGTACCGCCATTGGTGCTTGGCATTGGTTGACAGATCCTAACACGTCAGCAGTATCCTTCACACAGAGTTTATACAACCATCCATTCTTCACAATGGCTAGTGTAATATTAGGTAAATATGGAAGGACTGTGTATTATACATTTTATACAAGTTGATATGGCAATTGAATTTTGGAAATCATTTTTTAGTGATACTGTTTATGATGGGAGTACACAGGCGAGTAATAGCACCCAGTATTATAACTCAACGAGCCAGAAGTGTGCTTGGTGATTTCAACATGAGTTGTGACGACACTGGAAAATTGATCTTGAAGCCTACGAGACCTCCTCATCCCCATGAGACTTAAAGTGTTTACAGCAATAATAATTATGAATGTTAAATGTGTCTCTTTTTGTGCGCTACAAGATTGTTAAAAAATATGACGAGCTGAGAATTTATAGCTGTATATTTTAAGCCTTATGAGTTCTAGTTAATTATCCATAGTAAATTATATGATCTCTTTTATAGTGCATATAACGTTTATGTATATTGTATATGAATACAATATGAAAGTGTGTTTGAGTATATATAAAATTTTGGAATCACAATTTTCTCTCAAATTTGGATTAATGTTAACCTCTTATCTCATTATATTTTCTTATTTTGATGATTTAAAGGTATTTCGATAAAAAATAGAGCACCGATCATGTAGTTTTCTTTCTCCTAAAAAAAAAACATGAAAGATGAAATATTTATCTTAATTCTTTCATAGTAAAAAAAATGTCACTTTTCATGTTTTTACCTTAGGAAAAAATTACATAATTGTTATCCAGATTATAACTCAGTAGGAAATGAGATTGAAATTTTATATAAATTGCGATTCCAAAAATTTCTGAAAATTTACCTGTAGAGTTGCATAAGATAAAATTTAAAAGATGACAAAGTCTCAGGAGATCATTATTGAGAGATTGGGTAACAAATAGTAAAAAGTAAAGAAGTGGTGACTAAAGTTCTCAAAACTACGATTCCAAAGTCGTACATATATAACGATCAAAACATTTATTCG